GGGCTGCCAGATTGGAACTGAACTAGAATGAACTAGACCCAAACTAGAATAGAACAGAACTAGAACAGAACTAGAACAGAACTAGAACAGAACTAGAACAGAACCAGAACAGAACTAGAACAGAACTAGAACAGAACTAGAACAGAACTAGAACAGAACTAGAACAGAACTAGAACAGAACTAGAACAGAACTAGAACAGAACTAGAACAGAACTAGAACAGAACTAGAACAGAACTAGAACAGAACTAGAACAGAACTAGAACAGAACTAGAACAGAACTAGAACAGAACTAGAACAGAACTAGAACAGAACTAGAACAGAACTAGAACAGAACTAGAACAGAACTAGAACAGAACTAAAACAGAACTAAAACAGAACTAGAACAGAACTAGAACAGAACTAGAACAGAACTAGAACAGAACTAGAACAGGACTAGAACAGAACTAGAACAGAACTAGAACAGAACTAGAACAGAACTAGAACAGAACTAGAACAGAACTAGAACAGAACTAGAACAGAACTAGAACAGAACTAGAACAGAACTAGAACAGAACTAGAACAGAACTAGAACAGAACTAGAACAGAACTAGAACAGAACTAGAACAGAACTAGAACAGAATTAGAACAGAACTAGAACAGAACTAGAACAGAACTAGAACAGAACTAGAACAGAACTAGAACAGAACTAGAACAGAACTAGAACAGAACTAGAACAGAACTAGAACAGAACTAGAACAGAACTAGAACAGAACTGGAACAGAACTAGAACAGAACTAGGACAGAACTAGAACAGAACTAGAACAGAACTAGAACAGAACTAGAACAGAACTAGAACAGAACTAGAACAGAACTAGAACAGAACTAGAACAGAACTAGAACAGAACTAGAACAGAACTAGAACAGAACTAGAACAGAACTAGAACAGAACTAGAACAGAACTAGAACAGAATTAGAACAGAACTAGAACAGAACCAGAACAGAACTAGAACAGAATTAGAACAGAACTAGAACAGAACTAAAACTAGAACAGAGCTAAAACTCGAACAGAACTAGAACAGAACTAGAACAGAACTAGAACAGGACTAGAACAGAACTAGAACAGAACTAGAACAAAACTAAAACAGAACTAGAACAGAACTAGAACAGGACTAGAACAGAACTAGAACAGAACTAGAACAGAACTAGAACAGAACTAGAACAGAACTAGACAGAACTAGAACAGAACTAGAACAGAACTAGAACAGAACTAGAACAGAACTAGAACAGAACTAGAACAGAACTAGAACAGAACTAGAACAGAACTAGAACAGAACTAGAACAGAACTAGAACAGAACTAGAACAGAACTAGAACAGAACTAGAACAGAACTAGAACAGAACTAGAACAGAACTAGAACAGAACTAGAACAGAACTAGAACAGAACTAGAACAGAACTAGAACAGAACTAGAACAGAACTAGAACAGAACTAGAACAGAACTAGAACAGAACTGAACAGAACTAGAACAGAACTAGAACAGAACTAGAACAGAACTAGAACAGAAACTAGAACAGAACTAGAACAGAACAGAACAGAACAGAACAGAACTAGAACAGAACTAGAACAGAACTAGAACAGAACTAGAACAGAACTAGAACAGAACAGAACTAGAACAGAACTAGAACAGAACTAGAACAGAACTAGAACAGAACTAGAACAGAACTAGAACAGAACTAGAACAGAACTAGAACAGAACTAGAACAGAACTAGAACAGAACAGAACTAGAACAGAACTAGAACAGAACAGAACTAGAACAGAACTAGAACAGAACTAGAACAGAACAGAACTAGAACAGAACTAGAACAGAACTAGAACAGAACTAGAACAGAACTAGAACAGAACTAGAACAGAACTAGAACAGAACTAGAACAGAACTAGAACAGAACTAGAACAGAACTAGAACAGAACTAGAACAGAACTAGAACAGAACTAGAACAGAAGTAGAACAGAACTAGAACAGAACTAGAACAGAACTAGAACAGAACTAGAATAAAACTAGAACAGAACTAGAACAGAACTAGAACAGAACTAGAACAGAACTAGAACAGAACTAGAACAGAACTAGAACAGAACTAGAACAGAACTAGAACAGAACTAGAACAGAAATAGAACAGAACTAGAACAGAACTAAAACAGAACTAGAACAGAACTAGCTGTGAATTAGAGCAGCACTAGTACTGAACTTGAATCTGAAATAAGATATCGAAATTGGATACCAAATATCCGATTATTCGTTTCTTATGCAAAATACACTAATACCCACAAAAATATATATTCAACCACTAGTTTAACAAAATACCAACAAGCAACGCCATTAGGTCTAGTGGCAGAAAAGCGATAATAGTAAAGACAAATCGCAACAGAATATGCATATCACCAGTTACTTGCGTTGTCCAACTAGTGAAGAGGGGGTTTTGTGGTAAAACGGGCTAATATAATGATTGTATGTTTTCGTTTGAGACGTGTTTAAAGAAATAAAATTATAATGGTTACAGTAAACTTGTAAAAATAAAAAGAAAAATTTGCAAAACTGCATTGTAAGCATTTTAGCAAAAATAGTGAAATTAAGTTAAGACAGACATTTTCAACAAAGAGACAACCAAAGAAACGTGTGTGACAGGGTGAAAAGCAGAATTAAAAAAAAATAAAATAATAATGAAAAATAGTTAGGGGAACGAATGGAAATTAAGAGAAAAGTGTGAGGTACAAAATGGCAAGTATTTGGTAGTTAAAATTTTTAGATTTAAACAAAGTTACCAGAGGTTTACGATATGAATTAGGAATGAAAAGATGACAAGGGGGCAGTTATATTCAAGATTTCCAGATGTTTCCTTTTCATCGTTATATGTTTGTTTATACCCTCCACCACCATCAGTGGTGATAGAGGGTATATATAACTTTGTCATTCCGTGTGTAACACCAAGAAATATTCATCTGAGACCCAACAAAGTATATATATTCTTGGACCTTATGAAATTCTGAGTCGATTTAGCTATGTCCGCCCGTCCGTCCGTCTGTCTGTCTGTCTGTCTGTATAAAACATTCTCACGTTAACACGAAGCAATAAAAATTAACGAAATTCACCCAAAATATTTATTATTGTCCTAGGCAGTTTGGTATTGAAAATGAGCAAAATCGGTTTACACCGGGAAAAATTATGAATCAAAATTTGAAACAACCTCGAAAAAAATAAGCATTTTTTACACATTCTGATGTAATTTTCTCGAAAACTATGAAAGATAATTCCATGAAAATCAGCATACATTCGTTTCTACACAAGAACTTGACTCCTGCACAATTTCATATACCTCCCATACAAAAGTACATATTCCCGGAAAATGCTATTTTTGTTAATAACTTCCGTCACAATGTCGAAATCTTTACAAAATTTTACCAATTAAAATCTTATGTCAATAGAATTCATTCAGAGAAAAAATTTTCTGGATCGGTCCATAATTGGACATAGCTCCCATACAAGGTCCCTTCCCGAAAATAACTTAAACGCAAATAATTAATTTCTAAATCAAGTTATCTATATAAAATTTGGTACAAGTATTGCCCTCACATACAGAAGTATTACTGTGAAATTTTTTTTCCATCGGTCCATAATTGGTCATAGCTCCCATACAAGGTCCCCTCCCGAAAATCACTTAAACGCGCATAACTCATTACTAACATAAGACATCCATATAAAATTTGGTACAAGTATTACTCATTTGCACAGAAATATTATTGTGAAAATTTTTTCCGATAGGTCCATTATTGGTCATAGCTCCCATACAAGGTCCCATCCCTAAAATCACTTAAACGCGCATAACTTATTACAAAATTAAGATATCCATATAAAATTTGGTACATGTATTACTCTCACATACAGAAATATTACTGTGAAATTTTTTTCCGATCGGTCCATAATTGGTCATAGCTCCCATACAAGGTCCCTTCCCGAAAATCACTTAAACGCGCATAACTCATTACTAAATTAGGATATCTATATAAATTTTGGTACAAGTATTGCTCATATGCACAGAAATATTCCTATCGGTCCATCCTTGGTCATAGCTCCCATGCAAGGTTCCCTCCCGAAAATCACATAAACGCACATAACTCATTACAAAATATTGATATCCATACATTTAGCACAAATATTGCTCTTATATACATAAATTACACTATAAAATTGTTTTACGATCGGTCCATACTTGGTCATAGCTCTCATACTAGGCCCCCTCCAGAAAATTACTTAATTGTACAATATTCATTACCAAATAATGATATAGATACAGAAATTTGAAATTTTGTTTTTATATACACAATTGGTCATAGCTCCCATACAAGGTCCTTTTTCGAAAATTTCCTAAATGCACATTACTCATTACCAAATAAAGCTATTGATACAAAAATTCTATTTCAAGATTTTTGAACGATCGGTTCATAACACACATTACTTATTACTAGATTACGATATAGATACAGAATTTTACTCAAATATAGCTTTCATGTCCAGAAGTTTTGCTTAAAGAATTTTTTACGATCGGTCTATAATTGGTCATATCTCCCATACTAGGTCCTGCCCCTAAAACCGTATTTAACTAGTTGCATTATCAATTTGTGTAGAACAAAATTATATATATATATGTATTTTGAAAATCCTTAAATCTTTCACACACATGCATACATGCAAATCAATAAAAATCGCCAAGCGTTGGTAATGTTCAATAAATCTTGGAATTGTAATAGATTTGAGCTGTTTGAATCTAGGGATTTTTCTATTTAAGATATGAGAAAACTTATTTCTACAAATATTTGATCAATTAGAAAAGTATTAATATAAAAGTAGCTGGTGGAGGGTATTTAAGATTCGGGTCAGCCGAATATAGCACTCTAACTTGTTTTATAATATTATTGTTGCATTTTCAATTTGTTTTTTATAAAATTTTCTTAAAAAAATATATAAAAATTAGGACTTACCTAAATCACTATATAATGTTGTATTTAATGCTATATCCATGGGGCAGGTATCTTCGGAATCTTCTTCTTCCTCTTGTAGTGTTGGTGGTCCATCCCAAACTATTTTATTGGGACGACGAATACGATCTAAACGTACGCGGGGATATTCATTACACATAATATCGGTTAACTAGAAAATGTTATGTTGAAAGAAGAAGGGAATAAGAAAAATAGTAAAATTAATTAATTATTTATCTCAAAAAAATAAGTTAAGAAATCGAAAATTAATGAAATTTTTACAAAAATAAAATCATAAAAAGAAAAGTAAATTTGAAACTAAAAACCTATAGATCCACATTAACCTACTCGAAACAAATCTATATTTTATAATATCTCTATTATCTCCTACTAGCGCGAGAATATTGCATCAAGAGGAGGAATTAGGTTTAGGGGGTATTTAAGTGTTTGTGGGTAATAATCCTTATTCCATAATATATGCATCTCACGGAAGTTTTCCAGTTTCTTGTACCAAGCTCAGTTCTTGGGAGCGTATAAGGGGTGCTGATGGACAATCTGTTTTCCCAAGTTATCATTTCACTTATGCTGAGGGAGGACAGATTGCTCACGACCTGGGAATCTTATATTCTACGCGGACCAAGAACTCCTAAAAAAGCCAAATATGGTAAGTAAAAATAACAACATTAAAGTTACGGTACAGAGCCTAAATAATCCAAAACCATCGGCAAATGTTGATCGGATCGCGAGTCATGTGTCGTACTATAATCGTAAGCAAAAGACAACTACGCAAATGGGTAACTTGACCATTGACAAAATTGTAGGGATGAATGAGAAGGATGTACTTGGAGAGAACTACAAGCTACCTTAGACTGAATCCTCAGATGATAATAACAACACCATCATACCAAATGTCAAACAGGACGAAGTGTAGCAGGTGAGTGATAACATAGCAAAACTACTTATAACTAAAAAACGCTATTCCGGAGCTCAGAGAAGGACGTTAAAGAAGATGCTTCAGGAAATCATAGTGAGTCAAATGAAAAATCTCAGTTTTTCTCAATATCTGAGTCAGCTCGGCTCAGTTTGTCGGATATTTTTATGTTAGATACTTAGTGCAACCTTCAGCGATTATTGTCCTATTAGTTTCTATGGCGTCGAAAAACCCCAAATTTGTATAAAAGATATGGAAAAGATCGGCCATGAAAGACCTTATAGCATCTGTAATCCGTGGTTCGTGGTATTGAACGATTACAGTATATTTTACAATTCCCTCCCAAAATCCCAAAATTTGTATGAAAGATATGTAAAAAATCGGACAAGTCTTCAAGGTGAATGAAAAATCTAACGGCTATCATCGCTGGTTCAACATTATCAATGACTTTCTATGAATATTTACTATCGTTCTTTTGACAAACTGAGTCAAATGAACGATCGTTAGAGCAATGGGAGAAAAAATCACATACGGCCACTTCGTATAATGGCAAGAACCACAAAAATACTATGCAGTGATACCAACGAGAGGAGGAATAAGGGTATTCAAACAGGTTTTAGTCGAGGAGAGCGAAATGCTGAAACACTTTTTCTTTTGTCGAAATGTGATCCAAATATTTAGGAAGTAATGTTATTCTAAATAGATCATTTTATACTTGTTTTCCCATCTTCATTTTCCAATAGTGGCCTTAAAGCCTTTTTCCATTTTTCTGTAAAAAGATGGATTCTGCACCTAAAGAACTGTATATCTATTGAGACTATGACCTATTCAAGCCAATTTCGGACACTCTGTATAAAATGATGCTTATCCCCGAGGGGATCGAAGCAAGTAGAAGTCGAAAGACAGTAACTGCCCGGTCCTAGAAACCATTCGCTAACAAACGCTGGGGTTGTCACATTTCTCTAATCAATCTGATCTGTCAGATGTTCAATTGGAACGAATTCTTGCATTCCTAAGTTCGTCAACATGGGTGTGAACCTAGTTTACATGACTTATAGCATTCTAACAATTAGAATGTTAATTTCATCGCTGTCTACTTCTGTCTTCTTTAATAACTTTGTATAGACTATCTCCATAATCCTTATTCTTTACATTTCTTTACAGACAATATAAAGGGACCCATAGGACCCAAGTAAAGCTTACTCCTGGCAGTAAGCAGTCTGTGAAACGTAATCTAAGGCAGTAGAGGCAAAACTTCCTAACGTCTGGATTATAAGGCAGGTGATAAAAACAGGTATTGCAACATGGCCGAGCGTTGTCATGATGGATCATGCTTGGTCTCAGACAATGTTCATGGACTAATAGCTCCCATTCTAGCTCTTCATAACAATACCTGTGGCGATATATCAAATCAAATGCCATTTAGGGAACACAATATTGGTGTGCAAATCTAAAATATCTTTCCTTTTGTTGATTAACCCTAATAGAGGGACCTCTATGACCCATGCCAACTGACCGATTTGTTCAGATTTTTCCAGTAAATGCATTATTCAATTCCAAAAATATTGAATCGTTTTATTACTATAACAATTCTAATAATTGTTTTATATGAAGATAACTTTTGGTTTTAAATAAAATTAAACTCAAAATTAAAACTTTAATAAAATGAGAAAGAAATTATAAACTTAATTTGAAATCATAAAAGAAATATTTTACTAATAAATATTTTACTACCCACCTCCTTTTTAGGCGTGGCCGAGAATATCTAATTATTAAAGATTTTACACAAGTTTAGCAATTACATTAGCGTGGTGTTATATATTCAACAGTTTAAATCCAATTAATTAAGTATGCAAGATTATTTTAAAATCAAAATAACAGTGTATCAATGTGTAAACAGAAAAAAGTTCAAATATTTTGTTCAGTGTATGTGAAGATAAGTGATTTAAGTTAAACGGAGTAAGGTGAGTGTAAAATGAGTGAGTGTTTACGGTGTAAGTTTTTTAACAATTAGAAATAGAAGAAGGGAAAGAGAGAAAAAGAAATTTATCAAGAATATGATATTATTAAGTGTTTGTTATTATTTAAAAATTTAGCTGTTAATTACAATTTACATTAGTTTTATTAAATTTTATAAAGGAATATACAAAATTTTGTTAAAAGCATAAAAAACTCACCGATATTTCTTCACTGCAATATGCGGTAAATGATTGTTCATCTTGCTGCAGTACACAGTACAGTGGACCCCAGGGTAATGTGATTTTTTGTTTACGCGTTAATTCACCTTCGGTTTCTGGAAAAAATAAGAAAGAAAAATTAAATAAATTAGTAACATATAACAAAAATTGTTGTTATAACAAATAAGAGATTTAAGTCATATTTGTGTAACCCTGTTTAAAACAGCAAAACGCCATCTGCTGTTATTTGTGTTCATTAATAAGGTTGCAATATTAGCTAAGACAATCACCATATGAGGTAGAATTTGCAGCCAACATATGGTGAAAATATTCACGGTTGTTGAATTAACTAAATGCAGGGTATTGTTGAATTTGCTTTTGAGTACAGTTTTGCCTACAAAATTAACTTTTAGTGGGAATAGTTAGAGATAAGTGAGGGGAAATTCTTTAGTATTTAAGTGGTTGAGAGACAGGGTAACCAAATAAGAAGTGATTCAAAGTTTTTCAAAACTGTTACTATTAAAATATTGAAATGTTTTTATATATCACAAGAACAAGAACTAAACAAAAACTAAACTAGAGCTGAAATAGAATTGAACTAGCACTGAACTAGAACTGAACTAGAACTGAACTAGAACTGAACTAGAACTGAACTAGAACTGAACGACAACTGAACTAGAACTGAAATCGAACTACTCTAGAACTGAACTAGAACATAACTAAACTAGAACTGAACTAGAACTGAGCTAGAACTGAAATAGACTTAACTAGAACTGAAATAGAACTAGAACTAGAACTGAACTAGAACAGAACTAGAACAGAACTAGAAAAGAACTAGAACAGAACTAGAACAGAACTAGAACAGAACTAGAACAGAACTAGAACAGAACTAGAACAGAACTAGACAGAACAGAACTAGAACAGAACTAGAACAGAACTAGAACAGAACTAGAACAGAACTAGAACAGAACTAGAACAGAACTAGAACAGAACTAGAACAGAACTAGAACAGAACTAGAACAGAACTAGAACAGAACTAGAACAGAACTAGAACAGAACTAGAACAGAACTAGAACAGAACTAGAACAGAACTAGAACAGAACTAGAACAGAACTAGAACAGAACTAGAACAGAACTAGAACAGAACTAGAACAGAACTAGAACAGAACTAGAACAGAACTAGAACAGAACTAGAACAGAACTAGAACAGAACTAGAACAGAACAGAACTAGAACAGAACTAGAACAGAACTAGAACAGAACTAGAACAGAACTAGAACAGAACTAGAACAGAACTAGAATAGAACTAAAACAGAACTAGAACAGAACTAGAACATAATAAAATCCACAAAATTCCTTTAAAAATGTTCACTTCTCGCAAACCCAAAACCCCTAAGTAATAATTTGTTATTAATAAAACGCGCGCTAAAAATATTTTCGTTTGCTATATTTGTTATTAAAATAATTAGTAAACATAAATCATTAAACAATTTAAAAGTCATTGCCATTGAAAATATTTCATAAATATAAAATTCTATAGAAAACAATAACAAATTGGCAACACTATTTAAAAAAGGCAATAATTGGCAATTTTTAACAAATGACAACTAACTATTACTAAAAAATTAATTGTAGAAATAACATTATATTTAAATATTATAGATTAAACAAGCTAAAAACATAAAATTTCCAACAATTTGTTAAAATTCTTTAAAATTTGTTTTGACACTTTGTCTGACCCTTTTGGTTTAATTATCAGTATTTGTTTTCAGTTCTTTAGAGCTTTTTGTTGAAAATATTTAAAATTGTTTGTTTTTGTTTATTTAATAGTTATTTTACTCTTTTTTTACAAAACTAAATTAATCATTTTACCAAAAATATCATTATCAACAGGTGTTTTATGTCTTTTAAATAAATTCTTTTAAATTGTTGTATTATTTTGCGGCTTTTTGGTGTTTTGTTTTAAAGAAATACATAATAACAAAAACAAACATATGAAATAAATTATTATTCAACAAAAGCAGAAGAAACATGCTAATTATATACAATATTAAACATTAATTACAGTAGAGGGTAAAACTATGAAGCAACCGAGAACAAACTCAAACATTTTAAAAACTTTTATTCAAAAATAAAAATTGTCAATCAAAATTGTACCTTATCTGTCTTTAAACAATTCGTTAGCAAAACTATTACTTAACCCTTTTTTTCATATCTTGTCTGTCACTGTAATCCCATTCTTTCATGAATATTTCCCATATTTATCTTAATATTTCTTGTGATGGAAAAAACTATAGAGAATCATAAAATTATTGAATAAATATTGCCTCAAAATCAATTTGAAATTTTCATTTTTTAAACAAACTGTTGGTACACAATGTTTATCTTTATATTCACATATTGACATATAAATTTCAGTTTTATAGGTACCAATCGTTGTTGGTTTACATTGCCTAAATAAACAGCAGCAGCGATAAAATGCAAATATTTATAGAACACGGGAATTATAATGAAAGCGACTGGCGAAGAAACGAGTAAAAAGTAGGAAGAACAGAACTAGAACAGAATTAGAACAGAACTAGAACAGAACTAGAATAGAACTCGAACAGAACTAAAACAGAACTAGAACTGAACTAGAACTGAACTAGAACTGAACTAGAACTGAACTAGAACTGAACTAGAACTGAACGAGAACTGAACTAGAACTGAACTAGAACTGAACTAGAACTGAACTAGAACTGAACTAGAACTGAACTAGAACTGAACTAGAACTGAACTAGAACTGAACTAGAACTGAACTAGAACTGAACTAGAACTGAACTAGAACTGAACTAGAACTGAACTAGAACTGAACTAGAACTGAACTAGAACTGAACTAGAACTGAACTAGAACTGAACTAGAACTGAACTAGAACTGAACTAGAACTGAACTAGAACTGAACTAGAACTGAACTAGAACTGAACTAGAACTGAACTAGAACTGAACTAGAACTGAACTAGAACTGAACTAGAACTGAACTAGAACTGAACTAGAACTGAACTAGAACTGAACTAGAACTGAACTAGAACTGAACTAGAACTGAACTAGAACTGAACTAGAACTGAACTAGAACTGAACTAGAACTGAACTAGAACTGAACTAGAACTGAACTAGAACTGAACTAGAACTGAACTAGAACTGAACTAGAACTGAACTAGAACTGAACTAGAACTGAACTAGAACTGAACTAGAACTGAACTAGAACTGAACTAGAACTGAACTAGAACTGAACTAGAACTGAACTAGAACTGAACTAGAACTGAACTAGAACTGAACTAGAACTGAACTAGAACTGAACTAGAACTGAACTAGAACTGAACTAGAACTGAACTAGAACTGAACTAGAACTGAACTAGAACTGAACTAGAACTGAACTAGAACTGAACTAGAACTGAACTAGAACTGAACTAGAACTGAACTAGAACTGAACTAGAACTGAACTAGAACTGAACTAGAACTGAACTAGAACTGAACTAGAACTGAACTAGAACTGACTAGAACTAGAACTGAACTAGAACTGAACTAGAACTGAACTAGAACTGAACTAGAACTGAACTAGAACTGAACTAGAACTGAACTAGAACTGAACTAGAACTGAACTAGAACTGAACTAGAACTGAACTAGAACTGAACTAGAACTGAACTAGAACTGAACTAGAACTGAACTAGAACTGAACTAGAACTGAACTAGAACTGAACTAGAACTGAACTAGAACTGAACTAGAACTACTAGAACTAGAACAGAACTAGAACAGAACTAGAACAGAACTAGAACAGAACTAGAACAGAACTAGAACAGAACTAGAACAGAACTAGAACAGAACTAGAACAGAACTAGAACTAGAACAGAACTAGAACAGAACTAGAACAGAACTAGAACAGAACTAGAACAGAACTAGAACAGAACTAGAACAGAACTAGAACAGAACTAGAACAGAACTAGAACAGAACTAGAACAGAACTAGAACAGAACTAGAACAGAACTAGAACAGAACTAGAACAGAACTAGAACAGAACTAGAACAGAACTAGAACAGAACTAGAACAGAACTAGAACTGAACTAGAACTGAACTAGAACTGAACTAGAACAGAACTAGAACAGAACTAGAACAGAACTAGAACTGAACTAGAACTGAACTAGAACTGAACTAGAACAGAACTAGAACAGAACTAGAACAGAACTAGAACAGAACTAGAACAGAACTAGAACAGAACTAGAACAGAACTAGAACAGAACTAGAACAGAACTAGAACAGAACTAGAACAGAACTAGAATAGAACTAGAATAGAACTAGAACAGAACTAGAACAGAACTAGAACAGAACTAAAACAGAACTAGAACAGAACTAGAACAGAACTAGAACAGAACTAGAACAGAACTAGAACAGAACTAGAACAGAACTAGAACTGAACTGAACTACAATTGAAACGATCCTTTCTGAGATTTGATATATGTGGATCGAAATTAGGAATAATATGGAACAGATCTTGAAATTACAGAGAAATTTTATTATAATTGATTAAGAAATTTGAAAGAAATACTTCCAAAATTATATACCATTTTCGCCTGCCGTTCTTATTCTGTTTAAGTTAATTTTATTTAATACACATCAACAGATTTTTACTTTCTATAAAGTTTATTCTACCCAAACGAAAACAACAAAAAAAACTTCATTTGTATCCAATACATCATCTTATTTTTAAACCAGTGAAAATAACAAAATCAAATTTTTAAATTCCATTCTAAATGGAGTTTGGAGGCAAATACTCGTAAGTAACCCCTACCATATTATTTGCTAGGGGTGAGGGGGGTTTTGAGGGGTGACTCTAAAGCTGGCGCTAAATGTTTATAAAACAACAGAAATTTGTGTTTATTGTGCTCGTATGGTTGGCAATACACAAAAAAAAAACCAAAACTGAAGAAAAAGAACGAACACAGGAAACGAACTATAAAAACGCACTCATGTGTCAAATTTAATAATGGTTTTAAGTTATTTTTTTCTGTTGTTTTATACTTCTATACTCTACTTAGAAAATATATTTATTTCGAAAAAAAATCCTCATACCCTTCAAAGGA